CTGGGCTGGGCTGTTTTGTTTTGTGACCGGCCCTAACCCACCTATTGGGTAGGGAGGGGGTGCAGGGAAGGTTTGTGCGACTTACTGCCCCTTTTGGAGGTTCCGATCTGTGACACTGACGTGCATCCATTGAAAGAGCGCTCAGTGTGATTAGTGTGATTACGGCCCTTATTGTGGGTTCCCTCTGTGGTTTCGGGCCCGCAGTTATTTGGGGCTTATGTCTGTAACTTTGGTCCCTATCTGTTGTGTATGCCCCTTTACCAAGTCTGCTAATGGTTTTGTAGCTGGCTCACAGCCATTGGGGCCCCCAATTGTGATTCTGACTTACCTATCTGGGAGCAGGTAACTCTGGTTCCCTGTGGCTTGAGGAGGAAGAGAAAAGATGCGTGCGTGTACATGGAGGAAAGGTGTGGTGGCAACCTAGTGTTGGGCAGGTTGCTGTTACCACCTGGCTTTACCTGATTCCTGTTCCAAGGGTGGGGCCTGAGTGTTCAGGGATACATCCTGACCCCTGGCTGGGCCACATGGTTCTCAGGACTCTTTGGTTCTCCTGCAACTTTGAGGGTTGGGTGAAATGACTATCCCTTCCTCTTAGCAGAAGTGTACAGAGGTTTGGAACAGCCTCCAAAAGGGCTTCTTCTGCCTCTGGAAAAACTGGGCTCAGAGCCCTGGGGAGAGAGCCACCTGAGGACCCATCTGCACATGAGAGATGGGGCTCAGGGGCTGAGCTAGTTGCCGTGTGAGGACCAAGGCTGTGTTGGCCAGGAGCCCAGGGAGGTGGCAGCTGTTGGTTACCAAGTTAGCCCCTTCCATGCACCCCCAAGAGCCTTTCATGGTCTCTTGCTGCTTGAAGGGGGCAGCCAGCATCTTGGGAAGATTAAATGGCACCTTGGGACCCATGGAAGGAACCCAGTAGGTACCTGGGACTGCCATTGTTGTGAAGTCTTGCAAGTCTTGCCTCCATGCCTAATTTCAGACAAGTCATTCAGCGTCGAGACCCCTCCCTGGGAAGGCAGCTTCAGCTTGAACTTGTCTCCTGGCCTCAGATGGCAAGGCTCTCATCACACGTGGGTGGCCCCATCAGGTCTCTCTGCATGAGGCCCCCTGACTGATGAAGACCTGACTTTCTTAGGGCAGTGGGCCCTAGCCTTGCATTGGTGGGAAAAGAGCAGGCCAGTTAGGGGCCACTTTTCTGTTGTGGCCCACAGGATCACTTGGAGTTGGAAAACAACGTCCCTAGGGTAAGGGACAGCAGAGAACCTTGACGAGGGTTTCTCAAGGAGGCCCTAACTGCCTTGACCCCTTTCTTCCTTCGTTCTCCCCAGAGTCCTTGCAGGAGGCATCACCCAGGCTGGCAGATCATGGTGGCAGCAGTGGGGGTGGCTGGGAAGTGAAACGGAGCCAGCGGCTGAGGAGGGGCCCCAGCAGCCCCCGCAGGCCTTATCAGGACATGGAGTATGAAAGACGGTGAGTTATTTGCTTCCACCCTACGTAAGCAGCCTAGGCTTGTCCCTTTGTGAGAAATATCCAGGAAGGTGTTATGAGAAGACTTCCAGGCAGAGGAAACAGCACAGCAAATGATCGGTCTCTGCAGCAGACATGTGTTTGGCACCTGTTCTGAGTCAGGACCTGTGCTAGGCTCTGAGAATGCCATGATGAGTGAGACAGATAATTGCAGTCTTCTCTCTCTTTGGGGCCTAACAAGGGAGCCATGCACTTTGCAGTGATTCAGAACAGTTTGAGGGTATCGTGGCTAGGTGTGAGGGTGGGAAGAGATCGAGAGAAAGGAACAAATGGAGGCTGATGCCTGTTTCTAGCTTGGGGTTTGGTACCATTCACCAAGGCAGGAGCAGCAAGAGGAGGAGCATTAGTGAGGCTGTAGCCTGGGGTTTGAGGGATGGATGGGAGCCATGCTTTCAGAGTCAGGAGTTTGCCCAGGGCAAGCATGAGGCAAGGGGCAAGCCAGGTCAGATGGTGGAAGCCTCTAGGGTCTGAATGGGCTACAGGTGACATGCTACTTGTCTTGGAATGAATACTGTCATACCAGAGACTTCAAAAAAAGGTCCCAAAAGTTCATGGTAAAATGGAATTCAAGTATAAGTTTATTTTTGGTGCAAAAAATTTTTTGAAATCCATGCATAGTTTTTTCATAATATGCATTTTTTTTGAAGATTGCTTGTACAGTTTTTTTTTTCCCAACTCCATTATGAACAAGAACACTGAGTAAAATGCTCTCCATCCTGGTGGGTCACCCCAGGTGATTCTAGGCAGATAATCTATTCATGATATTTGAATATTGCCTAGGAAAGCAGAGCTCTCTCAGAACGCCTGTATTAAGTCAATAGCTTTATAAAAAGCCAGGGGAAAAAAATTTATTTTTAGAGAGGTTTTTGCTATAGGGTGCATACACTTGCCAGAGACAGAAAGCAAGAAATTGCCCCCCAGGGGGGAATGGCCACACCGCGGTCCCTTCTCCAGTCTCCTCTCGGGATTTTGGGCACGCACACATGTGTTTCTGGTGTGATTTTTCAAGCCACCAGATTCAGGAGTTGAATTGTGGTCAGCCATATGTGAATCCAGTGCCTTAATCACCACACCACCTCTTGGCTGCTCAGTGGGGTCTTAACGTCATCCCAGCCTTCTAGGATCATAGATGTTGTACACCTGGTGTGTTCAGGGCGACCACAAACAGAACCCTAATCTTCCATATGGCTTCTAGCATCACAGAGCACTGTGCTACTGCTGTGTCATTTCTTTTTTTGTTTTTCTTTTTGAGAGGTTTTTGCTATAGGGTGCGTGCACTCGTCAGACAGACAGAGAGAGACAGAGAGACAGAAAGAGAGAAATCATCCCCCAGGGGGGGATGGCCACGCCGCAATCCCTTCTCCTCCTTTCTCCTCTTGGGATCTTGGGCACGCACGCACATGCATCCAGCCTGAGTTTTAAGCCACTGGGCCTGGGACGTGAACCGCGGTCGACTATGTGGGAGTCCAGCAACAGCCATTACGCTAACTGCTAGTCCCTCTTTCTTTTTTTTTCAATTTTGCCATAGAGAGAGAGTGCCTACCAGAGAGAGAGAGAGAGACAAGGAAAGTGAGAAAGCACCCCGTAGGGAGTGACCACACCCCACAGTCCCTTCACTTCCATTCTTGGGATTTGGGGCACACACACACATGTGCACCCAACATGTTTTTCAAGCCGCAGGGTCCAGGACTCAAACCGTGCAGTCAGCCGTGTGGGATCCAGCCGCCTTAACCTCCACACCACCGGCTGGCCCCCAAGGTAGGTTTCTGTCATACATAGGCACAAGGTTGCCTCTTGCCTTGTTTATTTTTATTCACAGTTCCCATCTCTGTGGCAGCTGCCGTGTCATGTTTGATACATACTCTTCTAAAATATGTAGTGTTGTTCTGAGTGTCTGTGTTTTTAATTTACACACCTGACAATGCTACAGTCTTTCTTATTTTCTGAAGTTTGTACTACTCGGTGCTGTATTTTTAAAATCGATGTTGCTGTGTGTGCTGTGCTTCTAATTGCTGCAAAGGGCACCACGGGGTATGCCTACTGCATTTTACCTGATGATTTCCCCAAGGATGGATACTTGTTCTTCATTTTGACATGCTAAATTTGTCACTTTTTTGCCTTAGAATTTGTACTTTCAGGATCTTCTCTTTTCTTACTCTCAGCCACAGAGATTCTCTAACTCTGTAGTTTTACCTTTTGCATTCAGGTCTTTTCCACCCCACAGTCCACGTTTTTGTTTGTTTGTTTTTGAGAGAGATTTTTGCTATAGGACACATACACTTGTCGGAGAGACAACAAGAGAGAAAGTGAGAAATCACCGCATCAGAGGGGATGGCCATATCACAATATCTTCTCCATTCTCCTCTTGGGATTTTGGGCACACACGCATGTGCACACGCACACACACACACGTACACACACACATGCACATACACTTGGCATGAGTTTAAAGTCTCCAGGTCTGGGACTCGAACCATGGTCAGCCATGTTCAGTGGGAATCCAGTGCCTAACCACTACAACACCTGCTGGCCCCCACAATCCGCTTTTAAATATGGTATAAGGTAGGTTCTGATTTTTTTTATATTCTTCCATATAGTGGATGGTTTTCTCAGTGCCACCTCTTAAATTGTCCATCCTGTCTTTGTTCATTTGTGGTAACCTCATGTCATTTCAAGCTTCCTCATGCATGTGGATCCATCTAGAGTGCTCTAATTTGTTCCATTGGTGCATTTGATTATTCTCATGACACAGTCTTAGTGTTTTTGGCATTATGAAATATCTTCATCGCTCACTCTTTGCTCTTACTTTTCAAAGTTGATTTAGCCATCTGTGGAGTTTTATTCTGTATAAAAAGTTTATCGAGATGCCCCCAAAGAGTAATAATTTTGGCCAAGATTGCCTTGAATTTTTCTTTAAACAGTTATTTTATTTAACTTTATGTATTTATTTATTTTAACTTGACCAGAGAGAGACAGAATGAAAGAGAGAGAGAGAGAAAGTGAGAAAGCAAGCCGCAAGGTTCGGTATTCGAACCACAGTCAGCCATGTGAGAATCCAGTCCCCTTAACCACCACACCATCTGCCAGCTCCCTTGCATTTAATTTTTTATTGTAATTTGGAGAAAATGGTCAGTTTTTCTAGGTAGTCATCTCAATAAAAACTCATACGGAGCATGGTTTAAAATTCATTTAGAGGTCTGGGGCCAGCAGGTGGCATGGAGGTTAAGGCACTGGGTCCCACATGGCTAACTGAACAGTTTGAGTCACTGGATGTGTGTGCACTTGTTGCCCAGAATCCCAAGAGACTAGAGAAGAAGGGATTGCAGCAGAGCCATACCCCGGGGAGTGATTTCTCATCTCCCCTCCCCCGTCTCTCTCTCTGGCAAGCATATCCGCCCTTTAGCAAAACTAAATAGAAAAAAATTCACTCAAGCGACCTGAAAATTTGAATAAATGAAAATTCAAGGGTACCTCAAAAAGTTTGTGGAGGGCTGGTCCTATAGCTAGTGTTTAAAGGAGCTGGATTCCACATGACCAACTACAGTTTGAGTCCCAGCCCTGCTGGGAAAACATACTGGGCATGTGTGTGTGTATGCCCAAAGTCCCAACAGGATGAGAGGTGGAGGAGAAGGTATTACGTGTGACTCTCCACCATTGAAGGGTGCATTCTCCCTCTCCTCTCTGGTGAGTGTACTCCTCCCCTGGCAATTTTTTTTAAAGTTCCTGGAAAGGGCTAGCCAGTGGCAGAATGGTTAAGACAGCTGGATCCCACATGGCAAACTGCACAGTTAGAGTTCCAGACTTGGTGGCTTGAAAAACATGCTGGGTATGTGTGCCTGTGTGCCCAGAATCTCAAGAAGAGTTGTAAGAGAAGAGATTACAGAGTGGCCATCCCCCTGGGGAGTGCTTTTTTTGGGGGGAGAGGGGTAGATTTTTGCTATAGGTCATGTATACCCACTGGAGAGAGGGGGAAAATAAAAGAATCATCCCCCTAGGAGAAGGGGTCACACTATAGTACCTTCTCCTCCATTCTCCTCTTGAGATTTTTGGCACATGTGCCCAGTATGATTTTCAAGTCACTGGGTCTAGGACTTGAACCACAGAGTTGGCCAAGTGGGCTCTAGCATCTTAACCACCATAACACCTGCTAGTCCCAATATCTTACTTTTTAAAAAAAAAAAAAATACTCATCATGCTGTATTTTCTGGGATGGAAGAAAGCTGTTGATTTCTTTAAGTTGTCTGATTCCTCTTTTCATTTCTAATAATTCAGTCTTAATTCCTATAGTCTTAGTAGTTGGTCATGTTGTATACAAACCCATCCTGTTGTTTCTTCTTTATCTCCAGTTATAGCATTGTCTGAGACTTTTAGTACCATGTTAAAAAGTTAGGGATAGTAGGTACACAAATTAAGATTTGCTTTGGGACCAGCATATTGCGTAATGGTTATGTCACTGGCCTCCCATGCAGTCAACCATGCTTCAAGTCCTGGACCCAGCAACTTGAAACTCACACTGGATGCTTATGCGTGTGTGCCCAAAATCCTGAGAGGAGAATGGAAGAGACGGGATTGCAGTGTGGCCATCTCCCTGGGGAGGGGGGGTGATTTTTCACTTTCTGTGTCTGTTTCTCTCTGTCCTCCAAAGAGTGCACACGCCCTATAACAAAAATCTCTCTTAAAAAAAAAAAAAAAAGATTTGCTTTGAGGGTCCAGACGGTGGCAGAGCAGTAAAATGGAGTGCCCTGGGAGACTGACCCATGGGAAGGCTCTAGGTTCGTATCTGGAAATCCCTCCTGAGTATGCAGACATATGTGTACCTGTGATCTGTGACTGGCTGGGGATGGAGGAAATAAATAAACTTTCTTAAAAAGATTCACTTTGGCTGGTCATAACAGAAAAGAATATTAGCTCAAACCAGATAATTTACTTCTCTTTCCCATAAA